AGCAACTGACAGGACTGAGCATTTGAAAGATCGACTAATGGCTAACGATGTTAGCACTCCACCTTGTGAATTTTGGGAAGGCGGTGAAAAGGTTTTGTGCCCCGTGCTATAACTCTCCTGCATCCTGCTGTAAACATATACCTGAATTTCCTACAGAATAGAATTATACATGACTTTTCTCTGTTTTCATATCTGCATAATATATCGGCCATCGGCAGCCCTGCTCTGTAAATATCGTCATTGGCCATTGAAAAACCAATATCGGCTCATTCTGAGCCATTTGAAAAAATCAGTTAAAGAATCCTGATTGATGTTGGTTGCCTGAAGGCAAGATGTTGAGGCTTGGATTCAGATAAATAAGTAAAAATAATAAATAAATCAATCAAAAAATGGATCAGCCATGAGCCATAGGAAATAACTGTCTGTGCCTCTTTATCACTTGTCTACATCAAGATCATATATTGTACATTAACTCCACTGACTGCATGTTAATCTGTCATTTAAACAGGAGAAAGTAGTTCAGATCTTGTCAGACACTTCCTTATTGAATCCTCATCAAAGGGCGTACGCATCAAAGGCTCTACTCAGGAACCATATTTTGGTGAGTAAAAGTCAATTACAACAATATGTTATTGCAAACCTATAAAGTGATTCACTTACTACATTCATGCTGATGAAGTCGGCCACACCAGAACTGAGTCAGCCATGTCTGGCCTCTTAGTGTGTGGGTGAATCTTGTTCTTTATTCAAAGGTATGTGTTCATAGGGTGTGTTCTCACATCCACAGAGCCGTTATCATGGTCTCCTCTCTCATATCAGACCCTGTGGGTGTGAGCAATACAAAGTGCACTGTTGTTTCTGATTCCACAGAACACTATCTAAACTTAGTTTGGTGGCTCTGGAAAATCCCCTGATGGCAAAAAAATTTAATTGAGCGATTACCCAGCATATCATTTAAATCTTTCATATGAAAGTCTTTATATCGTGACAAAAATATGCCCACTATGCAGAATTGATACTAGAATGGCATAATGGATTAATATACATTATAAACGCCAAATTACCACCGACTTTATCATCTGAAAAATAACCTACAGAAAACACTATACTGTACTTACAATCATAAAACCTCCCGCTCCTCATTCATTACATTTTTTAAAGAATGTTCTGGGTCCAGAATAAGACAATTCATTTCTCAACCATATTTGAGCTTAACCAAAGCTGTGATTTCGTGTTATCTTTGCAGGTAGTCTCTCTGCCCTGGTCTACCAGCACAATATTTCTGCTTATGCTTTACCCTGCAAATTACTGCTCCACTCCCAAGGTAGGCCATTATTTCTTCTTCTTTGTGTGTGTGTGTGTGTGTGTGTGTGTGTGTGTGTGTGTGTGTGTGTGTGTGTGTGTTTGAGAGAGAGAATTAAAACATAATCTTTGCCTACACAGATCTGGGTGCAGCAGAAGAGAGGGGAAATGAAAAACCAGCATCGGAGGACAAGAGTAAAACCGGTAGGAGAGCAGTAGAGAATATAATGTTAAACACTAACTGTTTACATAGCACTCGTCTTATTTAACTATCCACCTGTATATCTATAAAGTAGATTTAAACAAAGGAACAAAATAATAAATAGGCCATTACATTTAAGTGACAAAGGTGGCTTTAAAGTACATTCAATGATGTATGTTCTTACCTTTTATACCTCTGTAGTCATTACTGTTGTGCAGCCATGTGATGCTAACAGTAGCTTGTCCCAAACAGTTCACTGACTGAGGAATTAACATTACTTCATGTTGAAGGCTAGCTTTAGCAAGGTCTTTGGGACTCCGCTGAAACTATTCAAAAAAAGTCCTCAATGGTAAATGGCTACATTTTACTACAAAAAGTAAATGTATCTTGAAGCCAATCCAATGAGAAAAGAGATTAAAGACACGTTTGACTGTAGTTTCATTGTCACCACAGATATCACTCCACCTTAGCAACTCTTCTGACTTGGCCTAGCCAGCAGAGGACACACAGGTGTAATGACGACCCTGCGCCAGCACTATGTTCCTGTTCAAGTGTCTTCCACACAGCAGGCTAGTGCAAGTAATTCCTGTGTTTAAGTCGAAGAACATAGCTTAAGTATTAAGAGTTAACTTATTGTATTACAGTACTTATTGAGCAGCTGACTGTTATGTTTCATTATTGGATATTATTACATGTAGTATTCAATGTTGTAAGCGCTCGAGGTCCAGCTCTACGGAAGCGTATTGCATTCACTTGAAAATGTTTTTTTTGGTTTGTTTTTCGGAGTAATTATTTCTGTTTTTATGAGTAGTTTTTTTTTTTTTTTTAGAGAGCATTTGAAACAATAGACACATTCATTCCTTTATTTATTGAGAGCTCGATTTAACAGAAACAAACATAACCGGCTTGTTTAGTTCAGTAAAGTTGTACTTTGATCTGGTTTCACACACTGGGAGATAGTCCTGTCTTTAAGTCATATAGATGGTATTATCATTAGTTTGTCCACTCTACGCTGGCACCTGAGGACTCTGCGGTTGTTCAGAAGGAAAGCCCATTCAGATCTGCTAGACATAGAAATATATACATAGCAAAATTGACCCGGTACGGTAACTTAGATAGTTGGAGATGGGGCAATATGTGCGGGCAGGAGTCACCGTAGGTTCATAGGAGTCACTTGCAGGTTGGAGGTTCTCGTGGGAGTTCGAAGTATCTCGATAATTCAGAAAAAAAATTATTCCGAAAAACAGGAAAAGAATTAGTCAGAAAAACAGGGGGGAAAAAATGAGTCAGAAAAACAGAAAAAATTATTCAAAAAAAAAAAAAGTTTTTTATTGTTATGTAGTTATTCCAAACAGATTGCTTAATATTTTATTATTGTTTGACATGATTGTATATTTTTTATGTTCAATCTTAATCTAAGTAAATTTAGTGTGGTAAAAAAAAAGTACAATATTATATCTGAAATGTGGTTCAAGTATAAAATACCATAAACTGGAAATACTTGCAAATTGCAACTAAAGAATATTTCTTATATAAACCATGTCTATGTCCTCTACGAGAATGGAAAAAAGTGGTTAACTTCATTAAATTTAACATCTTACTCATTTTAATTCCATGTGTATTCAGCCTCTATGGCTAATCAAACTATCATGTTTATCTTTTTCATAGCTTGCAACTTCGTCTACCTGAATGCAGTCCCCACTGAGATGCTAACGGGCCCTTGTGCAGTGCAGAAGGCGGTGTCCACTACACTTGAGAAGGCCCCGGGTTCGTTCACACCAACCATAGTCAACCTGAAGGTGTCTTTGAAGGGTGTTACACTGACAGATATCAACAGGAAGTAAGAAAACACAGAAAAAACACATCCTGTCAACCTGCTGCTGAGATTTTCCTTACAGTACACTACAAAATCATGGTGATTTGTCTGTGTTTGCATTTTTTGTCAAGACTGATCATTTCTAAAAACCATAATCATTTCTTCACAGGCTCTTCTTCAGGCGTCATTACCCAGCTCACCTGCTGAGCCACAGTGGTGAAGATCCAGACAATCGACTGTGAGTATACAGCAGCTTGTTATGAACTCTTTGAGAATGAAATAATAATAATAATATTATGTGACCAGTTCACTATAGTTGCATTCTCTTTCGCATTGGTAACTTCATATACAAAGCTAATAAATCACTTTAGGAGTATTCCTTTAGGTTTGGCAATGTAATGGCAATGTAAATAAGGTTTTTTAATTTAGCACATAAAAAACATCTTTTAATCTTAAACTTTGTTGTTTTCACCCGGACAGGTGGAGGAGAGGTTGCAGTTTTGGTGCAAGGTAATTTTGAGCTTTAATTGCTTACAATATCAGAAGAATGTTTTCAGGCTCGTCTGCAATTCACATATTTTATAGTTCAATTTAAAGAACACTATCGTTTCTTTGTCCCAACAGGATGTTCGGCTTCGTGGCGAAAAGCGTCGACGCTGGCATGGAGAATGTGTGCCACGTCTTTGCAGAATATGACCCCCTGCAGCCTTGCAGTAAAGTCATTGAGGTTATTCAGGCTGCCATAACCAAACTATAGACACACAAGGACTGAGAGAACCTGATACAGTAAAGCCCTAGCTACACTGTCTGTCTTATACTGTACTTTTCTGAAGTAACCTGTCTAATATGGTGGTCATTGTAAGTGTCACTACTACTGTTGTTAAACTCAACAAGTCACTGTATTTGCTAGATTACAATACCAGCAAAAAACCCAGACTCATCCCTTGGTTACATGATAAAGGTCATAATGGAAAGACAGTTGCACCTGTGGCATTTATGAAGCAACAAGACTGATCAGCTGTCAAGCAAAAACAGTAACCGGCAGGTCATTGTAATTAAATAGCACACTACAGCTGTTAAATAAAATCTAACCAGCAAAAACTCAACAATATTGATGAATACTTGAAGCTCCCAAAAAATAATTTCAGTGTAAAATGTTTTTGTATAAAATGTATGTATAAGACATGGTAAAGCATGGTTTCTCTTATTATTTATCTGAGAATGATTCAATGTAAACTGAAATGTAAATCTGCACTAACTGATGCTATAAAATATAATGGTGAGGGAAATTTGAAGGTTCTGTGTAATAGAAGATAAACTGACCATGTCCATTCATTTCAAAGCAGAAACTTGGCAGATACCCCAGTTGTATAGTTCAGAATGTATTTATTGTACTGCATTGGAACCAATCTGTTCTCTGTATATTCACATTATTATTTTTTTAAATTGAAATAAACATGTTGAACTGTTGAACTTGTGTACGTGCACACTGTTTACGTCTGAGAGACAGACAGCGGGGTGTAAGAGTGAAAACAGAGATAAAGTGTTTCATCATTTCCTATCTATCTCTCTGTAGACATAAGGGGAGCCAAAGAGAGCATTGTGGTTGATGAAGTTTTGTTGTCTAGTTAATCAAAGTAAAATTATGATAGTAAACATTTGACAGAAAACACAACAATCTGCACATAGTTCTTTTTTATTTTAAATGATAAATTGTTAGATAAAAGCAGAATGCTTCATTCTGAAGTTACAGAGTTCCCAAATGAAGAGTGTGCTTCATGAAGCAAAGCAAAAAAGCACAGAACTGCATAGATAATATCTTCAGATATTCTCGATATATTCTGAGGCACCCAAATGCAATGCACAATGGTCGTTTTCTTACTTGTATCTTTGGTGCCAACTCAAAACTTAGCATAAAAACTCTTAATCTAAGGTGCAACAGAGCATGTTCTACACAACCCGAGTTGAGCATTGAAGATACACTGCAGTGTTAACTATTTACAAATACTGCCCTCCTCTGGTTAAGACAGGGAATTGAAATTCTCTGAGACACATGGTGAGTGTTAGGAGCCTCACTGCAGTTAACAGTCACAGTGAGCACATTTTTTTTTTGATAATGCATCATAAAATATAGCTACACTATCATTTTGAGTTGCAAGTTTTTTTCCCCCTCCACATAGAGAAAGAACTGCAATGACAAAATACCTTTACTGTTCTTCTAAGTGCTGTATGCAGTGCAAGCATTTAGAGACTGTACAGAAATAATTAGGGTGGGAACATTATGTTTTTTAAAAAGCGTGGCCATCTCCAACATTAATATTTTTAATGGACCCTTCCCTTGACAAAGAGAAAAACTGCAACACCCTCTCTGTAAAATCTTACAGTAATATAACACTGGTGAATGGCTAAAAGTGCACAAGATATGAAGATATGGTGTGCTCCAATTTAAACCTTAAAGGTTATATATATATGAGATTGAAAACATTAATATAGCAACAAACAACTGTTTGCTCTGTAAAGTATAGTAGAGTCCCGGTGTCCTGAACAGAGAATGAATCCCTCTGCTGTGTTGTTATTGCCGCCTCCCTGTGGTTTGTTTGTATATCTGGTCTGTTCTGTGTAGAGCGACTGAAACAGCTGTTTTTATCATCTATGTCTGTGAATTAACGATTTATTTGAACCAAAACCTGAGTTAGTGGTTGTTAGAACAGTGAAAAGACTAACAAAGACAGTTTTGTTGTGTTGTTTTGTTTTTGTCCACTTTTAATGAAATTATGTTACAATGATATGCAAGGTAAAAGAAGTTTGTCTCTGAAGTCTGGTGGCGAGCAATAGTGATATTACGGCTGTTTCTGGTTAAACAAAAGGTTTATCTCTGTAGGGATCCTTTCCATAAAATTGTCAGACATAACAGAACACAAATGTGAGCCTGTCAGTGGCAAAAACAAGAACTGTACTTTGACAGGTCCACTTACGTTAAGCTTACATTGCAGCCGTTGGAGCCCTTTTCCCAAATATTTTCTCAGTGAATTAAGAGTTTATTTTGACCAAACCAGAGTCGGTGATTGGTGGAAAGTCTGTGGAAAGTCTAACAAACATGGTTTTTAGTTTATTTTATATCTGTCACACTGCTTTGGTCTGAAATGCTGGTGCTCTATTTCATATATATAACCTTTAAATGTTGAATGAATAATATTTTTCCAAATTGCACAATACAAGTGGAATTGGCAATTACCAAAAATATATGATTCCTGTTTACTGAATATTCAGAATATATTCAGTATTGTCAATCTTTATATGGCACATATACTTTTTGCTTTTTTATATACATTTTACTTTACTGTAGTTCTGCTTTCTGTTGCGATGCTCAGAGTTGGATAGTAACAAATTAAGTGCTAACCGGAGAGATAGCATTCAGGGCCTAAAAAAAAATCCTTCCCATTTTCTGAAACCCCCTCGCCCTAACAATTTATGTACAGTCCCTTAAAATAAAAATATGAAACCACAGCTTCATTTACCTCCATCTACCTGTGCACTCAGCCACCTGTACCAAGTGTTAATCAGAAATAAATGCTGTAGTTAAGCAGTCATATGGTCAATATAATCTCCTTTGTCCAGTGACCTCATACTGAACTAATGACAGCTTTGAGAGACACGTTTTCTTCATCTCGAATGATGACGAAAAAATATATTATAATTTAACATATTAAATTTAACATATTAAATTGCAATAGGTCTGATGTATTTGATGTGGTTTTCTGGCACTATAAAAATGTCCCCGATAGCACAAAAGCCTGATGGGTAATTCTTATCTTGCCAGAGTCAGGTTTGTTGACAGAAATTTCAGGTTCAGTCATCAGTTGTGATGCAAAGTATAATAATTGTTGTAATTTGAAATTCATATTAAGCATGATGGTAGTGGATGACAATATCCCAGATGTTATTTCTGTAACTTCAACATCACCAGTGTGTTACCACAAACAGCTACACACCAGTGCTAACTCTAGCGAACCAGTGACAGAGTCACTGTGTGATAGTCGGGATGCTGCGAGATCTCTTCATGATGAGGCGCACCTCCACGTCGGGGAGGCTGTCCTGTTTAGTCTGGGCACACCCCTCATCTGCTGCAGCCATGTGCAGGTCAAAACGCAGCGACACAGACTTCTTCCGCAGCTTGGGATTCCCTCTAAAGAAAGAGCCTTCCCACTGCTTTATCACCTTGTCAATCTTCTCGGTCCTGGTAGGAATGAGGTTAGAAGTAGTGGCAATAAGAGGTGATGATGATACAGGATAAATGTCATATAACATTATGTGTTATAAGATTATTTGGTAGGTGCATGGACACTAAGAAATATATTATGAATAGGTGTTTTATGTTTTAATTGTCTATTGTGTGTCGAACATGGTTTCTTTCGTTCAGGAGCTTTCATAGAATGTGGTGTGTAGCACTCTTTTGTCTTTCCTTTGCCAGAAATCTATTTATTCCTTTATAGTATTATTGCCATGTTATCCCATGTGGGATGGGCCATTTCAATGGTACTGTATAGCAAAAAAAGAGAAAGAAATGTCATTCATTCATTTATGCATGATACACCTGGTTGCATGGGAACAACAGGGGGCAGCAAAGGAGAGCATTTTAATTGCCTTTGATGTGACCTGGTATAAGAGCTAAATAACAGAATGAACAGTTTGTAATAACATGCAACCAGTCTGGCACTAAATAGACTCAATAAAGATCCGGAGCTGGAATCTTTGCCGTATCAACTAACTAAATTTGAAATAGAGACCCTGTCTCTGCAGAGGAGGCAAGCACTGTATATGCAAGTGTGTAACCTAACAGACTAATAGATGATCATGGCAAGTTTATATGGTAAGCTTGTTAGCAAACAGTTGCCTTTTTGCACATCCAGCAAACACAGAGCAACATGAGTATTTGTTCGGAGCCATGATTCTGGCTGAATGTAAGTCCAATAACATCGTTTAGCTCTGTTGTTCATCTCCACCTGAAATATGTTTATTAGAATAGCTGCCTGCAGTGACAGGAAACAAGGCTGATGAGAGCAGTGAGTGTGAACAAAAAAAATCAAATCTAAATTGAAGAATTAAAAATATGAATTTTGTTGTGTAATGAAATGGACTGCATTTATATATATTACCCAAAGTGCTTTGAGACTGACTGTTACTTAAGTAGTAGACCAAATTAATTAGTTTGAAAGCATCAAGAACCATTTCACTTATTTTCAACAAGATAATGCTTCTTGTCAGTGAAATTATGCTAGAAGCATTCAAGGAACATTTAGGTAAAATAAATTCAGTGGGCTAGCCAATGAATGAATGAATCAAGTGACAGTTACTTATACTGTCTGATCACAGCTACGAGATACAGTAGTATTGTGGGCTTGAGTGTAGCTCTCTGTGGACATTAACCATGCATGTATGTGTGTGTGTGTGTGTGTGTGTGTGTGTGTGTGTGTGTGTGTGTGTGTGTGTGTGTTTTTGTGGGTGTGTGTGTTGCTTTTTGCGGCTGGTAACACCTGAAGCATGAACAAAGCATTCAAGCCACGTCTGGTCCAACAATAACAGGTGCCACGCCCTGAAGGCTCCAAACCAGGCGGATATCTCCACATCAAACACAAGCCATTAAAGGAGGAAAATTCCCATGCAGTGTTGTGATGAATTACTCATGGGAACTTGTGCAGACAACTCAAAGTTTTATGCCCTGTAACTTGTTTGACGTGTAAAGGTAATTCTTTTGAGAGTTTGTACATCTTGTCTGGGGGACCAGACGTCGCCGGGGTGGGGAGAACATGGATGATTGTGTCATTACAAACGAATGAGTCAATGAGATCCTCACTGAGTTAAAGCCTGAGAGGTGTCAAGGCTTCGGGAGATGAAGCAAGTAAGAAATTGTTGTGTCATAACCAAAAAGGCATTTATCCAGGCAATGTAGACCAGTGTGCTCTACAGTGGTGCTGTTAATGCTTGTTACTATAAAATGCCTACATTTCAGAACCAAAGGTGCTGACTACAGGGCAATGGGGGGCAAAAAGATCGATACTTACTCGATGGTGCCATGACCCTCTGCACTCTCTCGCACCACATTGCCCTGAAGAATCTCCTGAGTCTTCACAGTGGAGATTGGCAAGTCTTTATCTTGCTCTGGCTCTGTGAGAAGACAAAATAATGACAAATCATAACAAGACAATGACTGTAGCAAGAGTGTGTGTGTGTCTCTTACCTGTGAGTATCACAAGGCTTTGCTGTCTATGCAGTATGCTTTTCTTTAGCCCGTTGTCTGCTGGCAGGAGAGAAGGTATTTCAGGCAGGGGTTCAGACTTGGGTTCATCCGGAGTAACAGCAGGGTCACTGAAGCCGTTCTCTAGCCCGTTCTCCTTCGGCTCCTCCACGAACGACCTCCAGGGCCGCAGACTCATTGGCTGCCCGTTACGACCCATGTACCTGCAGGCCGGAGGGCAGCATACAGAGTGATGACAACCACAGACTTTTCTTTACTGGGGTGGCACAAGTGGGGCACTGACTTATGCAAGGAAGTATGTTTCTTATTCCCAATGTATGCAATTCCAACACTGTTCAGGGACTCCAGTATGCAGAAAAAAGATAACATATTCATACCACATGCAGAAAACTGCATGATTGTTTGCCCCAAACTGCAGGATTAGCATAAAGTGGGCATGTCTGCAAAGGGGAGACTTGAAGAACCCATTTTCATTCCGATATCTTGAGGTCAGAGGTCAAGGGATCCCTTTGAAGATGACCATGTCAGTTTTTCCATCAACAAAATGTTGCCTATTTAGCCCCCCTAGTGTGGAGTGGAAGAAGTAAGGATAATGTGGTGGCACCTGGGGTGGCCAATCATAAAGGAAGGCCCCCCCCCCGACAAATACACACAGACTCTCTTTGCACAGCTTGGATGGTTAAAATAATATAAAAGTATTGTGCACTGACCTTTCAGTATTATCTTTTGAGCCCTTTATTTTGTTAACCTGCAGACATATCCAACTCAGACCTTTGGGGTTTTATGTGTGTGGATGCTTCAGAAAGAAAGAGCCGCTTTTACTGGATGAGGATGGTCTCAGGTCTTTTTGTTACACAGTCCTTTGAGCCTCCGCTTGCTGTTCAAATATGAACAAACAATGCAAATTTAACCTGCCACGTCCTGTCTCTCCCAGCATCAATGACATCAGTCAAAGTCCTATTCTGAATGAAAAGCATCTGCCAAAGCTATGAGGAGAACCAGTGGCGGCACTCCAATCTGTCTGTGATCTCTACGAGGGTCATAAAAACAAATTACTGTACCTTCCTCAAACTATAACATGACAATCACGTGGTTGATGCAGCAAATGTGTTAAATTGCAAAGGAGCTCAGTGTGAGATCCAGAACACCTGTGAAGATAATTAAAAGGCAAGCCAATAGGATGAAATATTCCCTAGTAAAACAACGTGGTGAACAGGCAGGTAATGAGTTAAGACAGCAGACTGTCTGGATTCTATCATATTGTCTACTTAAAGCTGGATGTTTAGCCAATGAATCAGTGGAAGAAAGTTAGTCACCTTCACTACATTTATCCTTTGTGCTTTGTCTACATATACAATTATTGGAATTTCCAATCACTGTTGTTACATGTCACTTTTTGCTGTACTCTACAGCCAGAGTATGTCTCACCCTGCAATTATTGTGGATTTTAAGTTTCTGTACAGATTGATTCTACATAATCCATGACAGAATGGTAGGCTTTGACCAGACTGAAAGCACAAACACATGAGATTATCAGTTTGATAGGTGTATAAAAGAAACGATTAATAAATCTGTTTGTTTACTTTGTCCTAATGCAAAGGAAGTTTCTGTGTTAGTCATGTCATTGAACGAGTGTGTGTGTGTGTAAAGTCCTCTTTTTAGATCCCAAATTTGCAAAAATCCTCTATATTTCTGTACAATTTTATTTTTCTTCTTTCTTTATTTTCAGTTTTTTCCTCAGGGTTGCTTTCAACAGGTTCAGGAAGATCCTCCAGTGCTCTGGGAAAACCCTTTCACCAAAAAGTAAAAATACCTTCCTGGTTGACACTGCAATCATAAAATTCAAAGATTCCTTCCTGCTTCCTCTAATGTTTCCATTCCTCTCTCTGTGCCTTGCCCTCACCTGCCCTCTTCACGCTCCAGCAGACGTCGGTAAGTAGAGATCTCTCGCTCCAGCCTCATCTTGGTGTTGAGGAGCTCGCTGTGGCGTTGGCGCTGGGTGGCCAGTCCGCTCCTCACCTGCTCCAGCTCACTCTCCAGCCCAGCGATCACCTGGGAAAGGTCCTGCAGCTGGCTGGAATACAGCTGCTGGGTGTTCTGCAGGGAGCTCTCCAGGCCTTTCTCCTGAAATGCAACGAGGCAAGAAGCTGTTAGGAGAAAGACTACACAGTTGACTTCAACTTTTAACTTAAATAACTTCACATTGAATTTAAAGAGCCATATAGAAACTAATATTATAACATATAATATTATATATATGTGCATGAACGTAATCCTTTACTAGCTTCCCACCATCAACACTGCAAGTGGCTTGCTTGGTCTCAGCCCTAGGCCCTGCTGCCAGGACCTGAACACAGGTCTCTGTAGTGTTGAGCCACAAGGACACTGCCATGGTTTTAGATGTAAAAAAACTGTTTGTGTGTGAGAAATACTCAAAAATGTAACCATGTATGTATGTCTCTCACACTTAATATGCCCTTTTTCATTAATACATATAAACATCATTACATATGTCAACTGCCACCAAAATCAAAATGTAATTACCACAACAGAATTTAATAACTTATGACAATGCATGTAAAACGTTGTTTCATTATGTACTCAAACATTCCATTATGTAGTTCAACAACTATTGAATGGACTTCAACAACATGTTGTACAGAGTGACATTTAAAGTTCCCAGAGGATGAATTGTAATAACTTGGCAATCCTCTGACCTTTCATCTAGTGCCATCATCAGGTCTAAACTTTTATTCGTAATACTATGGTTTACTGTACTTCGTGTTTAGTGATAAATGGTTAGCATGCTTATGCACTAAAATGGCAAACATTATAGCTGATAAACATTAGTATTCTGGAGCTGCTAGCATGATGGTAGACTCAATTCTAAGTCATGTTATCATATTTTAAATCACATCATATGCAGTTATTACATCATAATCTGTTTTAATAGAACACACTGGGGGGTTTTCAAGTCTCTGAAAATAATTTTCATGCAGTAGTAGATCAAGAAAGCAGTAGGAATTAAAGGTTGACTGGAAGGTAAAATCTAATGGAAAGGGGGCTAAAATATGTAAATATCCCATCTGTATAGCTCTACATTGTAGGTTATGTTATATCCTATGCTACTAATATATACATATTTTCTTAACTTGTCATTATCATTAGCTTATCACAAAAAGTCAACATGTGCAATCTGCCACTCCCTATGGAACAAGTGTTATTGGTGTGGTTGTCAGGGAGTTGGCTGTGCTGATATGTGATGTGTGTGTTTCCTTACCAAGGCATGTAGGGTCTCAATCTCCACCTGCAGGGAGTGCCACTGCTTCCTGGCTTCAGCCAGCTCGGCCCGGGCCTCCCTCAGCACAGCACTCCCGAGGCTCACCTGTGCCCATGCTGCCTCCTCCTGGATGAGTTGACAGGGATCAGTCATTAACAGAGAACCACCACCACCACTGCCACCATCTTATCCAAAGACAAAGACCCAACCACGCACACATTTATACTTGTGTTAGCTTGTAGTAGTTGACACGATGTGGATTGTTGGAATTAATATCTCTACTAGATAAACAGAACAGGCCAGATGAGAAGCAACCACCTTACACACTGACACGCACCAGTTCTTTCAACTGGCACTCAGTCAGACAGTGAGAGGAGAAGCAGCCACAGGTGATGATGTTGGTAGTGTGTGTTTCAGTATAGGTAAACAGAAAGCGAAGCAGGGCACCCAGGCCTGGGTATACACACAGCTGTACAAGCTGTGTTGACACACTGTACAGCTGTTAGGCTCTTCACACCCTCCCTCCTCAACCCCCTTCAAAAGCAGTGAAGCGGTGAAGCTGTCTCAGCACAGTTATGACAATATTTTGACAGTAAAAACAAAAGAAGAAGACTCAAGTTATGCAGGTTATTCTCTGTTTAATGTACTACTTCAGCATTTCTGGTTGTCTGTTTCAATGCACAAAGTCTGTTTTAATTAATAGGAAAATTATGTAATAAGCTAATTTAGGCAGAGAATATCCTACATCAGCTCTTAACACTGCCCAACAAGATTCCTTATCTTACATTAAGTCTAAAGAATTACTATTCCATCTGTCACCTTAGGCAGCAATGGAAGAGGAGGTACTGACTTTCTGACACTTACCAACTAAAAGTAGCAATATCACAGGGCAGAAATAAATACAAATATATTTGTAAAAGTACAGAAGTATTTTAAAATGTAAAAATATACTTAAGTATCAAAAGTTTAAATATTATGCAGAATGGCTTTAAATCTGGCCACAATAACAAAAAGATTTGTAGGCCAGGGCATCTCTTCAGAACTACAGTACTTCATTATAATGTTGATTTGCCAAAGACTTTACTTTTATCAAAAGACTGCAGCTTCTGCAAGTTGCATATTTGGCCATGTTACGATTTTGATAATATTTTTCAGACCCTATGTAAGCCCAGAGGGTAGCTTAAAGCTTCAAAGGCGTCACTCAAAATGATGATAGATGTCATGTAGTTTTGGTGCCTGTATCAGTTGTGTCTCCTCACTGTAGTTTGCACTCCAACTTTGCCAGCTCATAATGTAAACAATGCAACTGGGAAGCACATGTGTCCCTGTATATCATAACATACAATCCATCTTATTGTATGCCAATATACCCAGTATAGCACTTTTTTCTCATCATCATGCAGGCTTTTGACTGCAGCATTGTGTAACCCTCACTTTAGTGGGACAGACAGAGAAGGTCTGATGTAAACAACAGCATTTCATAAAACCTGCTCCATTTCAGCACTGTGGTAGCTTGCAGCCTTTGGCGAAGGCACTTTATTGTCACTGTCAGACCAAAGTCATTGTGCTGTGCCACAGGAACACTGGGATAATAAAAGCCAGACCCAGACTGTGCTTTCCCCCATCATAACATAAAAGAGGACAGTTAAGAGAGGCTAAAATAACAGTAGAAAAGTTCCTACTTTCAAATAGAAAATACTGCCACTACATTAAGGCTAAAAATCTGCAAGGTAGCTTAGAGTGCTCAGGTTGTAATTTGGCTCATAAATATTTAATGAAGAACAGAGATCATTCACTCAGTGTAGTAACTGATCGTATGCTGTAGCACCCTACTGCAATGGTGTGTAACTGTAAAAAGGTGAAGTAAGTGAGGAGACAATGAGGCAAAAACATGCACAAATCTGCAAGAGGGCAAATACAGACACACACATACACAAAACAGGAGGGAGAAGAAGAAGAAGATATACTTTATTGATCTCCTAGGGGAAATTTTCACTCTTTTTATACACACACACACAGGCTGAAATGCACACTTCGTGCACTTGTGGACATGCAAAGGGGAGAGAGATGGTGGAGTGATGGGGCTACAACGTTAACAGCGCCCCATGAGCAGGTTTTGGGGTTAGGTTGCCTTGCTCAAGGGCACCTCGGTAGTGCACAGGAGGTGAAACTGGCACCTCTCCAGCTACCAGTCCACACTCCATATTTTGTGGTCTGTGGGACTTGAACCGGCCACCCTCCGGTTCCCAAGCCAAGAAGCATGTTGGGTCCTAAACCTACAGCCCTTTACCACATTCAACAAACACTGCTAATAATTCAACATCAGCCGAGGATATATATCAGTCTGCCTTGCTTATGGGACGGCCTGGATTTGGTCTTGAGGGTGTGTCTGGCTGGCAGTGGGCCAGGACAACATGACAGAGGCGTAGAAAAAAAAGCATAGGTGAAGATGCAGGAGTGGATGCGTACCTCACTGAGAGCTCCTCCGTGTGTTCTGGATGCAGCTGCTGCTCCAGAGCGGCTAGGCCCGACCGAGCTGGGGAGTGGATTTGAAACGGCGCCCAGGCCAAGGTGTCTCCCGCCTGGGCCGGGAAGTCTGCTCTGATCGCACTGCGCTCTGATTCGGTCGAGGAGCTGGGTGAGCTCCATCCCTGTGCCATCCTCCTCCTCCCGTCCTGCTGCTGCTGCTGCTGCTGTGGCCGTCACTAACAGAGCATCGCAGGAGCCGGCTCGCTGCAGCTGTAGAGCCCGGGCTGCCTGCGAACAGCCAACCGGAGGGAGCAAGAGGGGGAGGGAGGGGGGAGAGAGACAGAGAGAGATAGAGAGAAAGACAGAGAGAGAGTGAATGATGTAAAGAGTGAGAATTGCAAAAGAAAAACATAGACAAAGAGGTGGAAAAAACTGATTTGTGACTGAATAGGTGACTTAATGCAAAGGAGAAAAGGAGTGTAAGAGCAATGTGTGTGTGGGGGGTGTGTGTGTGTGTGTGTGTGTGTGTGTGGGTGTGCGTGTGTGTGGTGGGTGGGTGGGGGGTGGGCAGGGGATTGTGAGACAGTCCACGCAATGCAGAGGCAAGAGGAAAAGAAACAGTTAGTTAGAGTACTACATGTGTGCATATGTGTGTGTGTGTGTGTGTGTGTGTGTGTGTGTGTGTGTGTGTGTGTGTGTGTGTGTGCTGTATGCAGAAAAACATACTGGAAGTGAGGGAGGGCAGTTATTAGTCAGCAGGAATGAGAAAATGAAGAAAAGGAGGTAGGAAAGGTAGGGGAGAGGAGGGGTGGATGAGGTCAGAGCGAAGAGATGAGGAATCGTTAGATGCTGTGAAGCGTAACTCACAAATCAAATACACACACACACACACACACACACACACACACACACACACACACACACACGAAAGGGCTATAATGTCAGGGCTGGAAGTTACAGTACGAGTGTCTAAAAACATAATAACGTAATAGATAATTACATATTGAAATACAGTATATTACACAGTAATAGGATCAGGATCCTGCAGCCTCTCTCTGTGGTCACATTTAGCACCAAGCCGGCAAAATGTTGAGGTGACAAATGGATCCTCACAGATCTTCTATATTTTCTGCTCATGCTGTTATCAGCAATGGTTACCTGTTACGTTCAGTGTTCGCCAGTCGTCAGAAATCACACAACATCTCATTTCCAACAAAAAAAGGTTAAAAGGTTAAAAGCGACAATATCACATCTTGAATTAGCTAATCACAGCTAATTTTAGCAGGACATTAGCTAACCAGCTAGCTAACGATTTATGTAGATTAGCTAGCTAGTTAGCTAGGGTTTTGTTAACATTACCTTGCAGATGTAACTAGCTAGCAAGCGACTGACAAAGTTTCACTAGCTACAAGAGATTTGAGTGAATTTTGAGCAGATACTTTCCTGTGAATATTCATCAGAGATGAGTTTCTCTGATATTTTTAGTAACTTTCTATACAATGCTCTGTCTGTATTTTAATTGTTATGAATCATACATACTTAATGGGTTTCTTTTTTTGACAAATTCAGTGTTTTCTTCTCCCTGACGACTGGCCATTGTTCTATTAGCTCTTTGGTTGTTTTAACTGTGTACTTTTCTAATGCATGAGGCCGTTTATCAGAGAATGAATTCTCTGTTAATTTAGCTTGTGTTTGTGGATGGCTTAGCACGTAGCATATTTAAGTACAGGAAAGGAGAGTGTTGTTGACCAAGGCTGCTTGAGGCTGATGGGAATATCATTAGTTTTGCAGGTATTTGGTGACATCATCATGTTTTTGAACCAATTAAAGGGTTTATTCATTTTTTTGGCCCCTCACTTGAGACCATTTCATACCTGCCAACTTTTCAAAAAACCTTGGAGTGAGATTTTGTCGGGGGTGACCAAAATCCAGCCGCGCACGCAGTCACACAAGTTGGTGGCTCAGATATCAGAGAATTGGAATTCATTTGATGTTGTACCCATGTTGTACCCTGCATTCTGGTGGTTTGTGGGGAGGCCCAAAGCCACTGATAGGGGCAGTCTACTGGAGATGGACAATATTGGTTACATTCTGAGAAGCAGACAGAGCTGAAATTTTGGATTAAGTAGATGTGATTTCCTGCATTCTAGTGGATTTTTGGGTGGTCTGCTAAAGATGTGCAATACCTGAACTTATTCTGATTCATGTTCGGCATCATGACTTGTAGGGCCTTCTAGACTTGAGCTGAACATTCAACCAGAAAACTATTGTTGTGCGTAAATGACTGCCTGTATCCCAATAAAGCCTTATTCATAGACCAGTGTTTAAGATTTGACCGAGGTACCTGTAGGTTGATTGATATTTTGATTAGAATGGTATTAATCTAAATCTTAACTGAAACCTAACCTATGCTGTGAATAATTGTATTCTTAAGAGCACTTCATGATTTATGTTCAGCCAAAAACGGGTCTCCTGCTGCTTGTTATGACAGCCTTCACCACACTAAATCATGTTTACACGCACATACACAAATAATTTATTTCAAGATTTGAAGTTTAAGAGAGTGAGTACTCAATTGGATGACATTTCATTGTTACATACTCTCAGCTCAGATTCTCATCAGACTTCTCGAGGTAGTTTCTCCCGCTGTCTTTCTCTGTATCTCTTCTTCTGTCGCTAACTTCGGGGTGCTATAGACTGTATATATAGAACAGGGTGCAGCATATATGGGTGCAGCGCATAGGGTTCAGTGGTGCTCATCAGCGCCATCTACCGTCGGGGAGTATAAAAAGGAACGAACGAGTCTCGGCCCAAGATCGGATTTTTTTTGCGTGAGAAATTGGATGTGTGGCGTGAGTGCGTGTGAAAACAGACAAAACCGTGTGTCACACGGCGAAAGCATGAGAGTTGGCAGCTCTGCCATTTTGCCTTCCATAACTGACAACACTGCACCCAAGGATACTCAGGCTATCATCTGAATCTTATTCGTACTCTGCTGTCAGGCTGGCACTGTAAAGTTAAATTTAGTTTTTATTGCATGGATGAATGAAGGGGTGTAGTGTGAGACTGTGCTTACAGAGGGAAAAGCAAAATCAAAAAATAGAGATAGACAGGAGGATAGAAAGAGGAAGGCACAGTGAAACAGGCAGACGGATAAATTGGAAGGACACAAAGATGAAAAAGAAAGAAAGAAAGAGATGTCATGACAAGCATTTGCAGAGCATTGACCTCAAACTCCTGGTGCATCTCCTGCAGCTCTGTCATGGAGTGCCGTAGGTCCGCCTGCAGCGTCATGCTGCTCTGATCTGCATTCCTCTTTGACTGCCTGAGCAGAGCCACCTGTTGCTCCAGACGGCTGGTGTTCCTCTCCTCCGTCTCACACCTATGATGTCATGGCAACAGCAAAGGTTATTTATTAAGCCTCATACAGTGTTTATTGTTAGCCACGGCATGCATCTGTTACTTAAAAACCAATGGTTATAAACAGAGGGCGGCCAGAGAATATACATATATTCAAATGGAGTGCAACAGATCAAGTTCAAATGTAAAGTATTGACACAGTCCTCAGTGATACTCAGTTTAACTTCCTTTAAAAGGGATTCCAACAATAGCTACAGTGAGCATCGACTAAGAAGACTGTGGTTTTAGCTGAACGATCTACTTCTGGTGCATGATCATGAAGGAAGGTGTTGCTGAAATAGTAGAAAAAAAGAGCTTGTCATCATTAAGTGTGTCATAAACAGAGACACTCTCAGCTAGTCAGGAGCGGGTGCTATAAATAGAACAGGTGTATTTATTTCAAGCTTCAGCGTGTCGCCACACTGTCCTTCAGGGGTTAATGCCTGACAGTGGAGAGGTGGTGGGGAGGTAGGGGGGTGGGGGCTCTGTGTCACTCTGCATCAATACATAAGCGAAAGTGCCGACGCGGCACAAAGCCTGGATTTGTATGCAGGTTGGCTCGCAGGAGCGGGAACTGGCCTGAGTTAGATAACAGAGGACTGGAAAAGGATTGCAGCAGAATGAAAACAGGAAGTCTTTGGCAGTTATTCCACACCTATGTTTAGTATATTGTGATGCTTTTATGGGCCAGTAATAATTCCTGCACATTTTCCATTAGCTTGTGTTTCTATGTTACCAATTAAAATACAAGAAAAAATGTTCTGAATCACTTTGGACCTAAACTGTATGAATAAGAGAAATATGTTTACAGGGTGGAATCTCACACCTAATATACTAATCAATAAGCCCTAGACTGTATTGATCAAGGGAGAGGAGGAAAACTACAGCTGACCTGGCCTGGATGGCAGCAGCTCTGGACTTCATGTTGTCAGACTGCAATGCCAGCTGGGCATTCTCCATCAGTAGTTTGCCAACCTGACAGAAACAAAATACAATGATGTGAGATTAGATCAGGGAATGTGAAAAAACAATGTGCAATTCTACAACAGGCAGAGTGACTTTTTTTATATGAAAATGTAAATTGGTAAAGTTGGCCTAGCCTGAGGCATTTGGGTGAAATAAAGCCTGTTAGGGTTGGAAATATTGGGCCCTGTCCCCTGTAATGGCAATTTTTAAGGACCTATACAACCCTTTGACCTGGTCATTGTAAAACCGTATGCAACTGTTAAAGAGGCTTTTATATGCATACAACCTTTAACCCTGTTTCTAACTACACTCTATGTCCAAGTAAACAGCCGGATGTTGAGACTTCACTAAGAAGCCAAGGACATGATCATCTCACCACACTATCTGTGTGTTTACTGTCCCAGAACTCAGGAATGTGTAACTGTGTTAGAGTGACGCTCCAACAGGGAGAAAACCAGGGCCGGCTCTAGCCCATTTGGTGCCCTAGGCGAGATTACCCCCCAAGTACAAGTACATTTGCAAAGTAGCACAGCTGGAGACCGCTAACAAAGTTAGAGACAAGAGAGACAATGACAGTGCAAACCGCGCGAAAAATGTAACAATGAAACCCCGGGAAATGATGTGCGGTCAATATGACTGCTTATGGCCGAAATAGGTAAAACATATCATATTTTCTTTGTCTTTTGCGTAATTTATAGAAAAACTATTCTAAATTAAAATACAGACACTTTTAGGAAAAGTCAGGTAACAGCAGTATTGCATTTTTTTATTCAACAAAGTTATTGCACATATAAATTTGAAAACGGTCAAAATGACCGTCTTGGCCGCTCTAGTGTTAAGCTACTGTTGCTTTTTTTCAACCTAGTTAGCAAGCTAATACAAATGAAGAGTCTTCACACAAAACGGCATTTAAAAAAAGATGACATAATACCTTTATTTTGGGACTTCTTCTTCTCCTCCTTTCTTCTTTTTCGGTACTGCGCACCCGAGGGCTTTGACGGCCGTTTCATCTCGCAAGATATATCAAAACATAACCTGTCTGTCACTTGACGTGACCTGACCTCTGTGACACCTGTCTTACCCTCTGAGGTGCGCAGCCAATGACCACACGTCACGTGACTCAGCACCACAAGCGAGAAACATGTCATTGTTTATCTGTTTCTTTGTTAATGGGCATTGAAATTTATTTATTTTTTTTTCTCCCTCGAGGGTGACTGGCGGCGCCCCTCCAGCAGATGGCGCTCTAGGCGACCGCCTATATCGCCTATGCCTAGAGCGGCCCTGGATAAAACCATACTGCTTCTTCCAATCGGGGCTCTTTCGGACTTTCACATACGAGAGTGTGTGACGGTGGCGTTGAGCCCATGTATGGATGACTTGAATAAAACCTTACAGAGAGACAAGATCATACTTTGTATGCATTATTAAACAAAGTTGAATTGATTCAGGCACAGATATATCTAGCCACTCCTGTATTGTATCTCTTCCTAGAAAGGTAGAACCAGAGGGCAGGCCCACATTGCACGGGTAAAGCTGACTTTGTGCCTTTCACATTTCCAGCACAAATGATTTTCTAGTAAAGCCATTTCAAGTACTTTATAGCGTGAACTTCTTCCCTGGTGTAAACCAGCCTGCACTGAATGTTCAAATTCAAATCCCACTGCCAGATAAACTGGAGCTTCTAACAGTTATTGTCATATATTGGATTAGCAGTTATCTTCTAAAAGGTGGGAACTCAACTTAAAAATATTTAAAATGTATTACCTCTACTGACTGTAATGATCATACTTTGATGATGTAAGTAAATTTTTTTTGGCATTCAGATCTCATGTGTAAACAAGCTAGCCCCACACTAAGATACAGTTGTTCTGCCTTACTAATTATTTTTGGTCTCCAACAACTGTGTTTGTTGACAGACAGGGGAGACCAGGGATGGCTGTATTCAGCTAAATTCATCTACTAACAAAACAGCTATGATGAAGTTTTGCACAAACCTCAACTTTTGTACTAAAATAAAGCATCCATGCATTGTGAGGACCTGAATTTATTATATTATATAATATATAAACTAAACTATGCTGTCCCTGTGCAGTCTGGTGAATTAATCAGGTTGAAAACATCTACTTGAGTAATAATTGTTGTGGTTTATAGCACAGCAAATTGGTTGTGACAATCAAAATGATTTTTGCATTGTTGGGGAAACTGAGACGGCCATGCCTAAGTTAAAAGCAAATCAGCGTCGTTTACAGCGTCTTTCTCTCCACACCTCACCTCCCCTCGGGGCTCAATCTCGGCCAAAGTACACAGTGAATACATACTTGGAATAAAACTAACATCTTACCTCAGCAGCCAACAAACTACTATATATATTTGTTTAACATTAGTAGTGGCTAAAATGTGTGTAAAAAGATTAACAATTATTTCAAGTTTCATTTTATTTTCAGCTATCTGGATGAAAGTTAATTCCAAGTAGAAAAAGGTCTCCTTGACTTTTATCACACACATAAAAATGTTAACACGCCCTTTCTTAATAGTGCATTAGTAAGACACACCCATTTTGAAGGAAAGCCAAAGAAAACATGGAATATTCCATAACATTTAGACCATAAGCATTAAAATACACTAATAATGTGGATGTTTCAGTATCACCTGCCCCTCTTTGAGCCCCAGTGAGATGAGTGACAGTAAACTGACAAGATCTTACACGTAAAGTCTTACCAGTTGATTGCCCATCATTAACTCTATGCTGTACATAAAAAGACAACAAAGCATCTTGTAAGACGATAAATAGCAAAGTAATCCTATATGTTAACATGAAAGCATTCTGTGGATCAGTGAACAATGAAGCCAGCAGAGTTTGCACTGGTGCCTGCCATAGCCATGGGAACATCAGCCAAACTGGATGACGACGTATGCGACGAGAAACAAGAGAGTGATTAAAGTGTCTGTCAGTGACACCAACTCATGCGGAAAGTGACACTAAAACCAAAGAGCAGTTGAAAACCATCAAGTCGTGTCATGTGAGATCACCATGCCAGTTGGCGTTAATGGTTTACTAAGTGGAATGGCCTTTAAAATAATAAAGAGTTCCTCATTCTTGCTGTGTGTGTCAGCTTGCTGAGTCTCTCTGGCTCTGATCCAGCAGCAATGGCACACATACCTGCTTCTGCAACAAGCTGGTTTGATGTGGAGACACTGCCCTGAAACAACTTTTACTAACCTAACTGCGCCAGATGGTTTGTTACACAGAATCACCTGGGAAGTCATCATTGGAAACTGTTTGGAAAAGGGCAGGCATTTCAGAGGTGATTGGATCTACCATTGTCTGTCACCGTCTATCACAGGAGAACGTCAACCAATCAGATCAACGAACCATATAATGTAGTCAAACTCTTACTGAAGCCTGTTGGGAGAAAAGCAAAATTGAGCGTCACACCTAGCGCCTACCCCCGTAGCGGCCAGTACTCCTCAAAAGATGTGGTACTACTAATTGGGCCACAAATGCACAGATCAGAGCCAAGCAGCCTGGCGAGACTGATTCTCACGTGGTTAAACTTTTACAGAACTAACAAATACATTCTTTTAGCTGATGAGTTTCAGTATCCAGTTGGTTTTGAAAAGAGTTTTATGTATCAAGAAGTCTGTCTGCTGATTCTCCCAATTACAGGTCCAGTGTGTAGGATTTAGTGGCATCTAGTGGTAAAATTGCAGATTGAAACTCCCTCTCTTCACCCTCCCCTTCCAAGTACGAAGGAGAAACTATGGTGGCTGCGAAAAAAGTTAATTCCACTATCTACAGCCAGTGTTTGGTTTGTCCCTTCTGAGCTACCGTAGAAACATGGTGGTTCAACATGGCGGCCTCCACAGAAGGTCCGTTAATAAAAACAGCTCACTCTAAGATAATGAAAACACAATGATTCTTATTTGATTGTGATTATACACTAATAAAAACATACCTATGAATATGATATTCCATTTCCTAAATGTTACACACTGCATCTTCAACAGCCTTTATAGCCCATATTCAACCACCACAGACTCTCAGTCTTTGTATCAGGTTCAGTGTAACAAAGTTGTTACATGATGGTTTTAATAAATGTAGTCACTTGTAACACAGCCAGCACTGGGACTGTTTCAAACCGGGGTTGCACCGCTGCCATTAAAGCTCTTTATCTGCTCTTAAAGGGAACATGAGGCTGTTCACATGATGCTGCACGCTGTTGGCATCTATACTAGTAATCGACTGTGTCTCTGTTTTCACTGCAGTCAATGCTGTTTGATTATACACAGCTGCTCCGGTTGTGTGCCAGCCAATATGGCCTTGAGCCGCTGTAATGGAGCATAATCATAAAGCCTGAGTGGAAATACGCCTGTAGCACACCTGCAATACTATCATATCCTTGCCTGTCAAACAGCTGTCCAATTACAGACATTTTTTAATAGTCCAAATGATGAATCTGACCTGTGCACGGAGCTCATTGACAGTCTGTTCTTGTTGGGACCAGTCCCGGGAGCGTGAGGTGCTCCTGACGCCCCAATCGGCTATCTGAGCCTCCAGCTGCTGGTTGGCCTCCTGCAGCCAGTTCACCTGCTCCAGGAAGCCCTTCAGTCTGGCGTTCAGACCCCACATGGTGTGCTTGGAGTCTTGCAAGTCCATGGAGAACTGAGAGAGTGCACACCCAAATGTTATCACACACACAATAAGCCACTAATATTTCCATACAGTCAAATGACACAGCCGGTAGTGCCTATGAGGGCCAAAACCTTCAGAGAGTACGTAATTGACAGAGTTACTATGCTTCCTACAGAAGACATACACGGATATATAAAGTTAGCAAACAGTCTGCCACCCATGTGAGCTCACACGCTGTCAGAGGCGTTAACTAGGTAAATGTTTACCCAGCGATACTCACCTGTGGCAATGTGACCTTCCACGAATAAGGCAAGGGAAGAGTAGTAGAGGCAGCAGTCCCTCAGTCTGTCCGCTAGTCACACCGAGCCGCTCCACCAATCCCCACAGCCTACCCGCATTCCTCTACAGCGGGCTGGTCAACACTTTCTCCTTCCCACTGTGTCCCAGGTCATCAGCAGCAGGCCCCTGAGACAGAGCACACCGGCTGCCATTAGCCTACCACTATCACAGTTTGTGTGTCAGTCTGCAGTCTTCAGGGTCAGCCACGACAGGGATGTTCCTCTCTGTCCCACCTCGCCCCCCCAGGCAGCATGTGGGAGCTGGGGGGTAGCAGTGGGGTAAGCACTGGACACAGTAGACACAGTGCTTACATCACCAGCACTCTGGGGCCCTTTGTACTCTCTGATCCAGGATTACTGAGCTGCTTTCAAACAGGCAGCAACACAAGCTGTGGAGGGAATGTTCAGGGAGACACAGTGACAGGACCTGTGTGTGAGTGTATGTGTGTATTTGAGCGGTGCTTTAATAATGGGTTACCTATGCTGTACATGTACTGTAATTAAGAAGAAATCTGTGTCCCCACTCACTGCTCTGAAGTCAAGTAATACACACTTTGTGCAGAGTTAAGTCTTGCTCAATAACAGTCTTGGCTGCTTTTAGAGAATGACTGAGTGTCTGTCTGGGCCAAAGGTTTCATCTTCTAAATATTATATTGTGATTTGGGTACAATGTCAGCAGATATGCCACAACTACAGCCCTGTGTTTCAGCAGAGACATTTTTTGACTTTAGTGCTGTATTTTCATATCTTCTGCAGGCAGACAGTGTGGCACTGTCACAGACATCAATACTGTACTGAAAATATTTAAGATGTTATGATAAGATGTGTGTTTGATTAGGCTAGGGGTGTGGTAGATTCCATTGAACATTTACATGAACGTTTTAATAAGCTGCGATCCAAATTAAAGCAAACAAGTCGGCTCACTATCACAAAAAAAAGCAAAGAATACATTATTGGTGATTTCTGATACTGTTAACATGAGACTATGTGACTTGTTAACAGGCAAAATGCAAATAAAAAAATAAAAAAAGAAGTAAAAAGTGGCACAGCAAAGTCTATCTTTGTGGGGGCAGGGCTAGTTTTCAATTACCGGTATCTTCTAATATGCTAGCCAGCTGAGACCATGCTAATGCTAGCTAGGTCAATATATTTAAACTGTTTATTAAAGAGACGTATTTTTCCCAGTGATTCCTGTAACTGTCCAATTCCTTTCTGCAGAGTAGTTGATTATCCAGCAGGGGAGGTGAAATAAAAGTGGATGGTACAACACAACTAATAATCATCCTCCATTTTGGACCATTTGGTTCTCTCTTACCTCAAAGGTCACTGGAAAAATGTCAGTCTTTTAAATACTGGTGTGGCAGAAATTAGTTGTTAAGTCAGTGAAGTGTGTTTTATTACTACTCTATTATTGTTTGTGACTACAACTAAAATGTATGAAATGAAGATAGTGATTGATCCTGTCAGTCTGAGACGATATCCTCTTTTCCAATGTGTTTTTTCTGTCTAATTTGTCCTCAAGGAGCCACTTGTATATTTGCAATTACTGTATCTGAGGATTTGCTTATCAGATGATTTTTTCTGTTGGGTAAACAAACGTGCTTTGCTAAGCGGCAGGATGTGGGGATTATTAATATAGACAATTGAGCCTGCACTTCTATCTGCTACAACCGTTGTACAAATATTGTCTCTGTCTAGACTTTCATTCTTTCCGCAGAGAAACGACAGAGGAGGAGCAGCCAGCTGACTCTCTCATGTGGTTTTGCTGACAGTTTGTCAGGGCTGTGGTTTTCATCCATCTGTATGGTCAGGAAAAGAGAGACAGAGATGGATTGATAAAGAGAGAAAGAGTGAGAGATCAAGAGAGAGTGGCAGAAGATGTATGCAAAGAGGGGAAAAATGTTCATGTAAATTTGAATGATGAAACACACACACACACAGAGTAGGCTGACTAACCAAACAGTGCCAGACAGGATTGTCGGGACACTTACCGTCAACATACTCCCACACCCTCTTAGCAAGTTGGCCTTCTGTTGGGCGATGTTGGCGGCGATTATAATGTTAGTTGAAATCCTGGAAAAACACCTGTCAGGGCGTTGCTCTGTTCTAGGACGGATGATATCGGCTGTGACTACCAACAGGGAATGCCACCCAGCCTGTTTTTAGATGTCATGTTGCTCCCACATAGATCCAAGAAATTGCATCCGTCTCACGACATCCACAGCAGTGTTTGGCCAGGGGAATCGCGTTAACTGAGGGCTATGGAAAAGAGCAGGTAGTGACTTGTTAGTCAGGAGCAGAGGTGGAGGCTTCAGAGGTGGACACTGCCCACAAGAGAAGGAAAATAAAACGAGTCAGCCTCAGATTATGGGTTAAACAGTGAACAGTCTTAATAGCTCCCTCATTGTGTACCTGACCTCTGCGACTTTACATTCTTCTGCCCCCGCTCCCCAAGGGTGGGCGCTTAGGCTCTCTTTGATCGTTTCTCATGTGATACCTCACCCTTTCTCTAGAAGGAGCCTTTTACGAAAGGTGTTTGACAGACAAAAAAAAACACTTGCTATAAAAACATACAATAGCTTTCATCCAATATCTAACAATCATAATAAACTCCATGCCAGGAGGTTTTCGTCTGTACATGATATTATTATGCAAGCCACATGATTTCTGCATGGGTATTGTGACTCAAATCCAAAACCACAGAAGGGATTATCTTCACATTAACTTCTTAAACAACTATGCTGTAGGGGCTATGTTAAGCTAAAGCATGTTTCATGTGCTTTTACTTGCTTTGTAAAGGTAACTTTAAGAGACAAAAACAATAACAGTAGGTCATAAGAAAACCACATCACTCAAACTGCGACCCTCAGGACTTATTTAAATGTCAAGCACCCATTATTAACGCTTCTACGGAAAATAATCATTATCACATCAACATCACTGTATGATTGAAAGCTGCACTAAAAAATATTTTCAACAATGTGCCAGTTGTGTAATGTGAAGGGGTTGCTTGTAGTTACAAACCAGCAAGAAGTCAACTTTGCAGTTTTATCCCAATATTAATTATCCTGATTTGCGATTATCACAATAATGGAAATTATTTCGTTTTTTTAATGTTTTTTATCGCAATAATAACATGTATCGTCCCATTCCTAAAACTGCCTGCATGCTACCGGCCCAGCACCAAACAGCGGACAGATAAAGTTAGTGACTAAAGGGCCAACTACACCAAGAATAATAACTATGAATATATCTTTTTAAAAATAGTTCTAACTCAAGTGGATGATGGCGTCTAGACCAGTGTTAATGAATGTGGTATACAACTTATTAAATTACTATATAATAGTGGCAGTATCTCAGTGTGTGGGGACTTGGCTTGGGAACTGGAGTGTCGCCGGTTCAAGTCCCACAGACCACAATACAGGGTGTGGACTGGTAGCTGGAGAGGTGCCAGTTTCACCTCCTGTGCACTGCAGAGGGCACCTGCCCTTGAGCAAGGCAACCTAACCCCAAGAAACTGCTCATGGGGCGCTGCTAATGTGGCAGCCCATCACTCCACCATCTCTCTCCCTGTTGCATGTTCACAAGTGCATGAAGTGTGTATTTCAGCCTGTGTGTGTGTATAAAATAAAAAAGAGTGAAAAGAAGAATTTCCCTAATAGGGGATTCATAAAGTATATATCTATCTATCTATAACATATCTATAACATATCATACATAAACATACTGCCAAACTGTCTTTGGTTCTGGTGGGTTCTCTGTAGTCCTTAATGATGATTGCTTTTTTAAGTTTAAATTAAAGTTGTCTTGTGTTCTTGCGTTGGCTCCTGTTGTCATCGTTACTGTACGTATGGTTATTATTATAATTATTGCTCTTGGTGTGAATGGCCGTTAACTCAGTGTTACATAGACAAACAAGCATAAGCAGGAAGATTGGCTATTTCTATATAGTTATTCTTAATGCCTGCCACTGAATCGGATTCCCCTGGGAATCAATTAAATAAGGTGGTGGAAACACTACCACCTTTGTCCTCAGGGTTCCCCAGACTCCACACAGAATGAAAGTTCCTTGTAGCTACTTTAATTCACATATACAAAGTTTAAAATAATGTAATAAATGAAGTCACGCTAAACTTCACTGACTCTGACTAGATTTATCATTAGCTTTTTTTCAAGTTGCTATCCTCTCATCAATATGACCCTAGATATTCCTCTAATTTCAAAAGCATTTTATGAAGGCTGTTGTACAGTCTGTGGAACTGAAGTAGCATGAATAGAGAGAACCCAGACACTGGGCACACGTACACCCATTTGAACCTCATTGATGTTTCTGTCTGCATCCTGTGGTTCTTCAAACTTTGTGGTGACAGTTCGTGCAATTCCTGTTTCAACATTTAAAAAATGGTTTTGTCAGTCTGATGTGGAAGAACTTGACTCAAACATTGTTAAGACTAACTGGAACACACACTGACAACCTTTTTCGCCCTGCATCAGTGGTCGACCTCATTTGTCCATATACTTAAGGCCATGTAGTATATCTCTGTATGTAGTGTTTAGGAACATGATTTGATGTACCAAGGCAGACCTCACTGTCCCATCATCTGAAAAGAATTAAACAGTGACTTTACAGACACACTGAACAGGCCCATACTACTCTCAGCTCAGACAGTATCAGAACCAGAGTGTGCACATTTTCAGCCCAAACCGTTCCCTTACACTTTTAATTCAATTCACTCAGCCAAACCTTCCACACCTTGCGACTAAATACTGATCATACCAGCGGGGGTGAACCATTCCTAAGTCTTAACCACAAGAAACTCATCATTCCATACATTTCAGAGATTATAGTCTAGACGCCAAACGTGACATACAGATGAAAGGAACACCTTCAAAGGTTATTTACTACTACACAATGAAGGGAACTGAAGGGAACGGCTCAACACACAAGCATGAACTAGGCAGGGTGGCACCTCCTGACTGACTGGAAGAATTACGCCAGCCGTTCTCACAGAGAACCAAATTAATTAACGATGTGTCATTAATGTCCATGAATGCTGAATGCTGATTCGTGACATCCCTCTCTGGTTCTTATATAACAACAACAATAATAAGTAGGGATGCTCGATATTGGCTTTTCTGCCGATATCCGATATTCCGATATTGTCCAACTCTCAATTTCTGATACCGATATCACCCGATACCGATATATGCAAGCTTTTTACACCAAAACTGTTAGGTAACAACATAACATATCTCCTATTGTGGAATTAACACATTATGCCTAATTTTATTGTGATGCCCCACTGGATGCATACATAAATGCAACATGGCTTTCCAAATGTAAATACTGTCTGTGCAAAACAACCAACCAGTCTAGCGTGTAGTTGTTGTTGTTATACGTCATCTAGCGCACGCCGGTAAACGTCCCATGCTGCGTTCATGCAGGCTCAGAAATGCTGAAGCCTAAAGAACAAACATCGGTTATAAAAACCTGATACCGATAATTCCCGATATTACATTTTTTAGTGAATATTGGAGGGCCAATATTATCGGAGATCCCTAATAATAAGGGTAGAAACCTGGATTCCTGTTGCTCACCATTAACAAATGACCATGTCACTTTATGTGATTAGTTCACACTTAATAGATCATCAGTTGAGGAATGTTATCCAATCCAATCCAATCCAACTTTATTTGTTAAGCACTTTAAAAACAACCAAAGTTGACCAAAGTGCTGTACAGGAGAATAAATAAGACATCATAAATGTAAACAGTGATGATGATGATGAAGACCACTGTGAGGAATATAGACAGTGATGGCGACAACACTGGAAAGTTCTCGTGGCAGATAACACGGACGAAGTCCCATGGCGACAAGCTTGATGTCCGGGCTGCAGACGCTCTTTCACACAGACGTGCCCGGCGTTACACCACCTGTTGTTTATGAGCACTGACAGTCCCCCTCCTTCCTTCATGCTGGTCGCGGTGGTGTCCCTGACGGCTCGAACCCTCTGGAAGCCGGGAATGGTGACTTTGGAGTCCGGTATCTGCTCGATGATTGCAGGGATGTAGAGTTTAAAGCTCCTCTTCTTCATCCTCCGTTTAACCCCCGCTCTGCAGCCTCACCGTCTCCTCAGCTCCTCCGGTATGGAGGGTCTCTCTCCGGTCAGGATGCTAGGGGGCCTCAGGGCGATCATCTGATCGTGGGTGAAAACAATGCGACTCCCCGTCGCCATGGAGACCAGCGTAAACGAAAAATAAAAAGTGCTCAAAAAGGCCAAAAAATATTTAGGCGACGTGAACATAGTAGTAAGAAAGTAAGAAAGTAAGAAAAGAGTTCAAAATAGCAAAAACACACTGAAAACACACTAAAACTACAACAATGAAAAGGAGCTGCCATGACAGGCTGCCGTTGTCGCCGGCGCCATTCCATGGAACCCTTAATCCACAGTTACTTCATACATTAAAGGTCTAGTGTGTAACATTCAGGAGGATCTACGGGCAGAAATGGAAAACAATATTCATAGGTATGTTTTCATTAGTGAATAATCAACTGAATATAGGAATTGTTATGTCTTCATGACCTTAGAATGAGCCATTTTTATCTACAGACATTACTACAGTAGCCCAAAATGGACAAACCAAACACTGGTTCTGAATACGGCCTTTTGCATTTTTTGGGAGTTTTGTGGCCACTGTAGTTTCTCCTACACCCTTCACAGCCCGTTAACATTCCCAGGTCGTCAAATACAGACGCAAACGGTGTTCACTTAGTTGCAATCTGAAACTTGGCCACTACATGTCACTAAATCCAACACACAGGTCCTTTAATTTATATGTAATCATGATAGAGGGATTTCAGTAACATAAAATGTGGTTATCAAGTCATAGTGACTCGATCCCATGTTAATGGTAAGCAACAGGCATCCATGATACATTCTGCATTAATCCATGCATTGAGTCATTATAAGTCATGCTTTAGTTAAGGTTTACTTAAAGATGTATTCACTTATGTTTAGTCACGTTTGCTGCAAGAAAGAAACGCACCGTTACCTGAATAAAAGTACAGATTTCGTTTGAGCACTGTTGGTAACATTTGGGATAATGTAAGTACAAAACTCAACAAAATATATAACACAGGTCTAGTATTTTTAGACAGACAGGAATGTTTCATATTATATTTAAATATATGAGTTTTACCCATATAAGTGCTAGAGAAAAAGCAATCAAAATCAAAAATCAAAGCCTACATGACCAATGACCTAAAAATGTATTAGAGAAAACGACTGATAAGGATAAATTAAGCTGATTTTAAGTTTCACATTTTGTGTAAATTGCTGTCTTTTACACTTGTCAAAGGTGAACAACC